CACTCTGTGGTTTCCTGTAGCCACTAGCTGTTGAAGAAGGCTGGTACCTATCCACTGGGATAGCCCATCCGTGGAGTGCAGCAGAGATGTCTGCAGGGCTTCACCATCTTTACTCTGACTCTTGGCTAGATGGGCTGGGCTGTGGTACTGATGTTACAAGCTTGACCTCTACACCAGATTGAACACTGATCCTCAGTAACCTTATCAGTCTTTGCCAGTTGTTACTATGTCAACAAAGACACAGTACCAGCTGCTGCTTACCATGGTCCCTGACTGCAGAACACTGATTTGGCAAAAGCTTGAATAATAAATAATGGTGAAAGAGCTTGGATTAGCTCTAACAAGCATAGCTGTTCCTACTTTGCTCCAAGGCCAGGGTTGAACTCCACATGCAAGAAGGGCTCCTTTACTTCGTTAAATAAATAATATTCCTTAGATGTGTCTCAACTTCCTCATTTCTCAGATCTGTGCTTGTTTCTGTGCCTAGTGACTTGCAAGGATTCTTGCTAGACCTCATTGTTTGGAATAGCATAACTCTGGTCCACCATCTGAGATTCTGTTTGCATGCCACAATTCCCTGATGTGTCCAATATTCCCTAAGGCTGCTGGAAGCTTTGCCCACCCTGCTGGGGCTCTCCATGCTCACTTTGCTGGGTATGCCTCTAAATCTGAGCCAAACTTATCTGACATGCTGAGGAATTTAGCAGAGTTAATCCATTCTGGCTCTGTGGTTAAGGGTTTCTCTGTTTACGCTGCAAATCTCAGTCAGGTGTTCTGGAGTTCACCTGGCTCTGAAGCTGTGCTGTATTAGACTGGGAGAGTGTGGCAGGGGCATCTGAGAGTCTGTTTTGTACTGCACCTCAAGTATATATTTGAAAACAGAGTGGCACACTGCTCCCAGTGGAGAAGACATCAATGAGGCAGAGATTGGCTATGCCCTAGTTTGTTTAATTTGTGCATGTACGCCAGCCCAGGAATAATGGTGGTTAAACAGCATGCAGGACAATCTCTTCTTCCAAGAATCCCAGTCTAACACTACTATCCAGTTTCTAGGGAGAAACTCTGCTTCAAGAACTGATTCCAAATGCCAACCAGAGACCAAAACAGAAATCAATCTCTCCTGCTGTTTGTATGGCTTCCTCTTCCTGGAAATCTGCAGACTGAAACAGCACGTCTTTCCAAAACTGAGCAGCTGCTCACTTGCTAAGCAAAAGAACTTGGAAGACTGTGAGCACCAGCACCTACCATAACAGCATGATGGAGCTCAGCCAGCTGGGTCCTGAAAGAAGTTTCCTAGAACTTTCTAGCTTGACATGGAAATGACCACATCTCACCCTTACATGAGCTATGCAAATCTCTCATGGAGATACAATTGTGAGGGGCTGTCTTCTTCTGTCACATAGATGACAGAGACCCTTGATACAAAAGCTACAGTGTGACCTTTCTGTAATGGGGGAATGTGCAGTCCTTTTCCACAGCACTGCAGCATCTCTGCTGACATGGGAGTGCCTGCAGAGGGGTGCAGTGAAATGGAGATGATAGCTTTGTTATGAAATGATTGCCATTCCCAGAGAAGACTCATCCAAGGGTCACTGGTACAGTATGCATACTAGATGGGTGGGGGTAGCATTTATGCACCGTAATTCATAAAAACATCAAAAAGGGTTATGCTGTTTGCAGATTGTTCACTGTCAGGGAACTATTTACAACTTTTTACAGCTTTGGGAGCTCACCCTTGGCTATAAGCAGCTGTCCAGCAAAGAACAGCCTGAAGGCTTCATCTCAGATTTATTTTGTTCAACTCATGGCTTCTCTCTTTCTGGCTCATTTTAGCAGCACAACCACCTTGGCATCAAAGTCAGTGTTTGCTTCTCTCATCGTCTCATCACACCACAGAACACAGAGTTGCAATGCCTGCCATAGGGGATTTCCTCTCCGCTCTAGTTACAGAGATTCATTCTCCAATTACTGGCCAGCTATCCCTTGCACTGCCCAGGAGGCAGGGGGAGGTGGAGGAGGTATACTCATAAGTCATAGAACAAGCAAAATCTCCTAGCACATGGGAATGTGTAAGGTTGTACATTACATTTGTAGGACTATTATTTGTAGGACTATTGACACTATTGTTGCTGGCACTGGATATGGATTCTAAATGACAGTGCTCCTAACAGCTGTGCTATAAGGATACTGAAGGTAGCATGGCAAGGCAGTAAGTTAAAAAGGGGATAAATTGAAAAATAAAAAGGCAAGCAGACAAACAAACCCTCTCAGCCAGAAAACATCGTCTGTTCTGTTCAGCCTAGATGCATAAATATTCGAGAGATTTAAATATTTTTAAACTAAAACTCTAAAAACGTTTTCAATAATGGCCACCTTGCTGCTGGCAAAATTGGTGAATTGAAAAGAAAATTAACTCCTGTAAAAGAAAGTGTTTGGGTAGGACACTCAAGAAAAAAAACTTTAGGTTTTCAGTGAACCATTTACTGTAAGCTGGAACTAGACTCAAACTGTGGATCAGTTCTTTCTCTGTTACTATGTATCATCTACCAGTTAGTACTACATACCTAGCAGAATGCGGTTTAGCTTGTTGGACAGCAATAATTAATTACACTTTCGTAGTATTTGCCATCTAGGAATTTCAACATGCTTTGCACAGGTGGCCCTTGTTTCTCATTGTGCAGTGGAAGCAAAGGGATACGAAGAAGATAAATAACTGAAGACCTCACTGATGGGCAGGAGGCAGGATCAGGGAAGGAACCCAAGTCTCCTAACTCAAAAACACACTTGACAATGCATCCTTAGGAAGTGTAATCAGTCTTTAGTGGGCACTAAGGGCCTAGTTCCATACACGCTAGCTCCTTGGGGACCTATTTGCATTTGTGCAAAGAAAGTTCAAGGGGATCCCTAAATTCTAAGGCCAGAGGGGACCTGGCTCCAAGTGCTGTGGTCCTGGGTGCATATGTAGATGCTGCACTTGAAGCAGTTGACTCCATCGCAAACTGTTTATTTGCCTTAATTGCACATGTAGTTGCACCCAGTGTGTATTTTTAGATAAATGCCCATTCAGGGCCTCGGGTGATGGAGACTCCACCATGTCCCTAGGTAAATGTTCCAATTGTTCCAATACTGCGCTCTTTAAAAAAATACATGTTATTTCTAGCTTGAATTTCTGAGGTTTCAGCTTCCAGACCCTGGATCTCATTGGCTGGCCATAAAACACTCTCAAATCAAAATAATGCAAGGCAGTGAATGCCTTCTATACATCTTCTGTGCTAAGCAATAACAAGATGTGTTAGCGATGAAGAGGAAAGCATGGAAAATGTGGAAGTCAATAAAGAAATGACCCTCCTTTCAACAGACAAGGAAATAATGAGTACGATGTTTAAGAAACTTGATGGGATGTGTGTTTCAGTGTTCTACACTGCAATCAGAGGTATGATTGGAGCATGTACAAACACACCTGAGCAAGCTTTATTCCACATGGGTACTGATAATACTAAGTGCTGGTAGCATGAAACTCAGGGCAGACTGTAAGACTGCCTGGTGCCCTGTGTAAATGTGGAAGTGACTGTATATGGAGCTAAAGCCAGCCATTGCCTGAGAAATGGGAAAGAGGCTGATACAAATAGCTTGGAGCACCATGCCAGAATGGTTAAGACATGTATGTGGGCACAGCCCCAGGGCTGTGGTTCAAACCTGCAGTCTCATGCTGAAAGCTGTTTCCACTTAACTTGGCTATTACTGGGTTCCTGATCATTCAAAATGGAGAGTCAAAGGCAGCCAGATGGGAGATGAACCCCTGCAGTACAACAAGGACAAGCGCAGAGTGCTGCACCTAGGATGCAGGAATATCCAGGACATCTACTGGCTGGGAAGTGACTCTCTCAGCAGCACAGAAGCAGAAAGGGATCTCAGAGTCAAAGTGGACTCCAAGATGAACATGAGTCATCAGTATGACAAAACCATCAGCAAAGCTAACTGCACTTTATCATGCATCAGCAGATGCATGACAAATAGGATCCAAGGAGGTGATACTTCCCCTCTATGTGGCATTAGTCAGACCGCAGTTGGAGTACTGCATCTAGTTTTGGGCACTGTACTTCAAGAAGGATGTTGATAGACTCGAGTAGGTCCAGAGGAGGGCCACTTGTATGGTTAGGGGCTTACAGGACAAGCCCTTATGAGGAGAGACTGAGGGACCTGGACCTCTTCAGCCTTCGCAAGAGAAGGCTGAGAGGTGATCTTGTGGCTGCCTACAAATTAATTAGGGAGACGCAGCAAGGGATCGGAGGTGCTCTGTTCACCAGGGTGCCCCTTGCAGTCACAAGGAACAATGGTCACATACTGACAGAGAGCAGATTTAGGCTAGATATCAGGAAGAACTTCTTCACGGTAAGGGTGGCCAAAATTTGGAATGAACTTCCAAGGGAGGTGGTACTCTCCCCTACCTTGGGGGTCTTTAAGAAAAGGCTGGATAGGCATCTGGCTGGGGTCATCTGACCCCAGCACGCTTTCCTGCCTAGGCAGGGGGTTGGACTCGATGATCTGTTGAGGTCCCTTCTGACTCTAGCATCTATGAAATCCCTTGTGTACCATTAGCTACAGAAACCAGTGTGCCTTATCAATACTAGCCCACTGGACTGCTAGGCTTGACCTGACCTTTGGCCATGATAGATGAATGTTGCAGATACACTGCTCTCATTGTAAGCTCTAAAACTGATCTGTTGGCTTAGGGTTCCCCTCTTATACATTCCTGTCTGGTTAATGATGCTCAAGCAGGAAAAACATCCTACACACTGAACACCTCATGTTGTAAGTTTCTTGGGGCAGGGTTCTTGTTTTATGCTGTGTGTATAAGCCCCAGGTGCCCTTGGCCACCATGTGACCCCTGTCCCTAACTCCCTGTCTCAGCATGGAAGCAGACAGGCAATACTAAAGTAACCTGAGGACAGATGCCAGGCAGCTGCTCCAGTTCCTGTGAGACTGATGGTTGTTCTTACCAGTTGGTAGGTCTGGGGCGGCTTTGGTCACGGAGTTTTGCAGTGCCGTCAGCCGGTTTTTCACCATGCGCACTCCCTCTGCAAACCGCGTTTCCTGCCCCTTCAAGAACTGCTGCATTTGGCGAATGGCAGTCAGCAGTTGCTGTTTGTTGAGACAATTCTGTAAAAAAGAAACAGCTGCTTCAGTGCTCAGAGCATGTCACCCAAAGGCATCTTAGCTGCTTTCATCTATAGCAGCCAGAAATTCAGGAATGGCTCATTAAGCACACTTAGATAACACTTATTTCAGTGCCCACTTTCCTGCATGAAATATGTGCTCTGTCTCCATTCAGCAGGGGTGTGAATGTGTCCAATGACAAACATGGGCCGTTCCAATGATATGCTTTCCAATGACTACTAAACAAGAACATCTGCAGGACAGGAAATATACTTATTGTACACAGGGCCACTAAACTATTTCAACTTGCCTATCAAACTTCGAGCCCTGTGGCAACATCCCTGGCAATGCCCCTGCTTTGGGAACCCAGTTCACACCGTACTTGGCCCACTGCTCCCTCACTTCTCTGCCTCCCCAGGCTATAACCCTCTCTGCCACATAGGAGCTAAGGGAGATCCTATCCTATGGGAGGAACTCAGAGGGAGAGAAGGGGGGGGGGGGGGGGGTGGTGGGGGGCCCCCAGCCAGTTTTGTCCTGACACCCATTGCTATAACAGCTCTGAGGCATTCCTAATGCAACATCTGCTCCTGTTGTGCCCAGTTCCATTTTGGTAGCAGCATTAACTGGATCATTAGGATGCCTGGTTTCTATGATCATTTTAGCACGCTGCTGCTGTTTTCCTGAGGAATGCAAGGTACAGAAAGGAAAGCATGATATTGAAGATTTCATAACTTAGCAAACTCTGAACAGAAGTTTACAGAACAAAGAAAATGAATGTATTTACCCCAGAGATTTTTCCCTAGCCAAATTTCTAAAATATGCTGCAAAAATGGTGACATAATGGCTTATCTCCTCCTTTCCCCCCTCAAAAAATATCTAGGAAGTGTTATACAACTAAATGGTTGCTACCAGCTCCTCAATATAATGTAAAAGGAAATGGAGAGTTGTTTTCATTTTATATTCATAGATTCATAGATGTTAGGGTCGGAAGGGACCTCAATAGATCATTGAGTTCGATCCCCTGCATAGGCAAGAAAGTGTGCTGGGTTCAGATGACCCCGGCCAGATGCCTATCTAACCTCCTCTTGAAAACCCCCAGGGTAGGGGAGAGCACCACCTCCCTTGGGGCCCATTCCAGATTTTGGCCACTCTAACTGTGAAGTTCTTCCTAATGTCCAGTTTAAATCTGCTCTCTGCTAGTTTATGGCCATTATTTCTTGTGACCTCCAGGGGCGCCTTGGTGGGTACAGCCTCACCAATTCCCTTCTGCACCCCCATGATGAATTTATAGGCAGCCACAAGGTCACCTCTCAACCTTCTCTTGTGGAGGCTGAAAAGGTCCAGGTGCCCTAGTCTTTCCTTGTAGGGCTTGGCCTGCAAGCCCTTAACCATACAAGTGGCCCTTCTCTGGACCCTCTCCAGGTTATCCACATTCCTCTTGAAGTGTGGTGCCCAAAACTGCATGCAGTATTCCAACTGCGGTCTGACCAGTGCCCGATAGAGGGGAAGTATCAACTCCTTGGTTCTGCTTGTCATTCATCTGCTGATGCACGATAAAGTGCAGTTAGCTTTGCTGATGACTTCGTCACACTGCCGACTCATGTTCATCTTGGAGTCCACTAGGACTCCGAGATCCCTTTCTGTTTCCGTGCTACAGAGCAGGTAATTTCCTAGGCAGTAGGTATGCTGGACATTTTTCCTCCCTAGGTGCAGCACTTCGCATTTCTCCTTGTTAAATTGCATTCTGTTGTTTTCTGCCCATTTGTCAAACCTGTCCACATCTGCCTGTAGTTGTTCCCTGCCCTCTGGTGTGTCCACTTCTTCCCACAGTTTTGTGTCATCCGCAAACTTGGAGAGAGTACACTTCACTCCCTTGTCCAAGTCACTGATGAAGACATTGAAGAGTACAGGTCCAAGGACCGAGCCCTGTGGGACCCCACTGCCCACACTCTTCCAGGTCGATACCGATCCATCCACCACCACTCTCTGGGTACGACCCTCTAGCCAATTTGCCACCCACTGGACTGTGTAGTCATCCAAATCACAGCCTCTTAATTTGTTCACCAGTATGGGGTGGGATACCGTATCGAAGGCCTCCCTGAAGTCTAAGTAAACGATATCTACCCCTATTCCTGCATCCAGGTGTTTTGTAACCTGGTCATAAAAAGAGACTAGATTAGTCAGACATGATCTACCTGCTACGAACCCATGCTGGTTTCCCCTCAGCATAATTTTTCCTGCTGGGCTCTGACATATATGAGCCTTAATAATCTTTTCAAAGAGTTTGCCAAGGATGGAGGTGAGACTGACTGGCCTATAGTTGCCTGGAGGTGAGATTGACTGGCCTATAGTGGTCTATATTCTTCCAGGGATAGTTCCTGGTACCCTAAATTGTTATCCAATATCACTGAAGGTAAAAAGTTAACACCCTTCTATTTCTGAATTTCCTTCTCCCCAGTTTGCAGTCTGCCATTAGCAGTGATAGCATCTATCTTTAGGTCCTCATAGGATAAGAGTAACTCAGTGAAGTGGGAGCTACTCATATCCTTGGGGGGAAATTAGGGCATCTATATACATTCATTCTGGTTTAACCTGACTGGATGCTTGTCTGATCCACTGAAACCTCAGGGGTGTGACAAAGCTAAACTGGATATCTTGCAAAAATAGCCTCTCTATCCATCTCTGAGATCTTTTCTTTTTGCAACCCAAAAAGGAAGGGTTCTGCACAGAGGAAAACTGAAGTTAAATATTTCAAACTGTATAAAAAAGTTGGTTTGACTTTTGGGCCAAGGTTCAGAAAAGATTCTAGTTTTATTCAGACTTGTTTCCACTGGAGACAGACAAAGAGAAGGACGTACTGGACAGTTCCTGGGAATGTACAGCGAGAACCAGGGCCTCACTACCTAGTATTGTTGAATCCTGTCCTGCTCACACTTTCCAACATAGCACTGTAACCAGCACAGGTCAGGCCAGAACACTCACCTGGGAAGCTGAAGTCCAACTTCCCCTCACCCAAAGGAGGGATTAAACCAGAAAATTTTTTCTTCAAAGCACAGCACAGCACTAACCACAACAGATGAACCGTCATTTGCTTCCTTCTCCAGTGCTTCTTTTGAAGCTGGGCCATGAACATAGCCATTAAGAAAATGGATGGAAGCTTCTGCCTCACCAGGGAAAAGGGCAGAGGAAGAAGCCAGGCCCCTCCTTTCCAGACCAGCAGCCACCTCTGAGCCACCCCCTGTCTTTCTACATTCCTTCTAGTTCCAGATCTCTCCCACATACCTTTCCTTTGTGGCTACCCAGAGGGCTGGAGAATACCTGGATAATGGCTGACTTGTGGTATGGTGCTGTGCTAGGAAGTGAGACTCACATTCAATCTCCCCTGGCTGACAGGTCCAGAACCCAGAGCCTCCAACATCCCAGGTGAGTGCCCTAGTCCCTGAGCACCTTGGGGGAAAAGGCAAATAGTCT